CACACGGACGAGGATCGAAAGGGTCAGGTGCTCGAGGGCCGCTAACTTTTGACCGTCTATCAAAGCAGGAATATCGAAGGCCGAGTTGTGTCTTACAACGAGCGTTTTGAGGTTCGGGAAGCGGACCTGTTCGAGGCAATGACGTGTAAAAGCTGAATTGATCAATTCCAACCGTACGAGGTGGTCTAATTCTAGATCTTCGACATCTCCGTCAGGAGAGATGGACGCCAAACGCGACTCAAGAACCAAATTCTCAAGCAGAGGGTTTTTCTTCAGAAGCAGGGAAAGATCCCAGAAAGAGACAGGTGCACATAACATAAGTGTTGTCAAAGATGTGAAGTTAAAGTCCGCTACTCGTATCTCCGAACAAAAGGTTGTCAGTGCAAAGTGACGCATTCGTGAGCCATCCACGTTCGTGAGAGCACGCAAGGATTCGTCGTTCAGCTTTTTCGAATAAACGACAAACTTTCGTGGTCGTAGCCCGTCGACTGCTGTCGGAGGGAGCACCGAAAACACATCGTCGCTGGAGCTTCGTGTAATAATCGTCAACGTATCAAGACTTGACCATATAGTGGAAGCAGCATCTTTGAACATGCGAGATCGGTCATCGGAAGAGAATTCCCCAACAATATGGAGGTCCGTCAAAATTCCTCCTGAGCGTTGAAACCAGGCATCTGCCTTCTCTGGCCCTTTTTTCGGAGTGACGGTAAGGCTGCGCCAAAAGTGCGGTGTGCCTGGTGCCAACGATAGCATCTCGCCAAGACCGACAAACGTGAGTGAGTGTAAGCGTCCTTGCGTTGCTGCATCTTGTGTTGCTTCCGTCGATGACGACAGAAAATATCTCCATCTGTAACTCCACTGGAAGTCTTGAAAAATAACACAGTACAGATTGCAGCACTTTTACCACCTTTGTTACAGTTCTCTACTCTTGTACTTTCAGTTCCAAGGGTTCTGCACCCTTCTGTACCAGAACTCAGGACTTCTGTCCCTTGGGGGCACTGTCTATGGACTATATGTGTACTGACTCTTACTACTACCCTTCCTTACTTCATCATTCCATTCCTTTGACCACCCCTTCATTCTTTGTTCATTCTATAGTCTCTTACCCTTTGTCCATCCCTTCATTCTTTGTACCTTTATCTTTGACCTTCCTTTCTTTCATACTTTATGACTTATCATTCTTAGTGACTCATACTCCCTGAGTACTCTTGTGTAGTTTAGTATATATAAGTGTATAAGATCAGACTAGTCCTGTAGTCTTGATCTTGTCTACTCTAAGTAGTCCTATACTCTTAGACTTACTCTATATACTCTACTCTTGTCTCACTCTCTCTCTCTGCCTGTTCCACAAGTTCTGACTATGTTCTAGTGTTTACATTCTGTATTTCTGTTATATAGGATAGTTGTAGCCTGAGTCCCCTTACTAAGCCTTTGAGTCCCCTCTACACTGTTACTAACATTAGATTAAGACTACCTATTACTACTCTATAACTCTCTTATGTTTCAGGCATTAGTACTTACTGTTATATTAATCTCTTTTCTTTGTTCTAACTCTTTTACATTTTTAAATTTTAAACTTTCTAAACCCTTTTAAACTTTTACCACCCTTCTTCTATTTATTACCCCTTTTAGTTTAGTACTGATTCCTTTGTAGTATAAACATGAACCCTCTTATGTTAACTACCACCCCTACTGTCCTGCCAGATTAGTAGTTACAAGCAGACCTAGCTTAATATGTGTAGACCTCTATTTAAGAGGCCTTTACTAACTACATACTTTTAGCCCTCTCAGAACCTATTCTAATTGTTCTAGAAGTTGTAACCTGTTCTAGAAAGAAGGTGTATGTAGCTTACCCTTTAGACTTTAATAAGTAGTACTTTAAGGACTTCTAGTACTAAGTCAAACTATATATAGTTACTACTTTAATCAATCTATCCTCAGATCTCAATTGTGTCCTATTTATCCTCTCCTTCATAAAGGAAGGTAACACAGCCACCTAGGCCTAGAACTAGATTGAAGGACATTAGATCAGAAGCCTAATCTGACTTTAGAATAATGAGTTGTATTCAGAATTCATAAGACAGCTCTGTACTTCCTTTATCAATCTAAATAAGAAGTATAATATATAGAACAAGCTTATGTTTCTGTGACAGAGTAAACATTCTACTAATACCTTCTTTCAGGAGTTTGATATCCTAGCCTAGAAAGTAGGATTCATACTCAGGTTTAATAATGTTCTTATTAGAATACTTGAAAAAGCTCTTTACTCAGAACTAGTTAATAAGATTCTTAGAATGATACTAGAACTAATTACTTACACTGAGTAGAAGACACACACTATTTCCTTCAACTAAACTGTAGCTTAGATACATTAAGTTTGTACAGAATGCTCACACATACATTTAGCTCTAACAGTTCTGAGCTCTCAGATTAATCTGCCTGTAATTCACAATTAATCTGTTCTAATAGACATTAGAGAAGTCTAAAAGTAAGGAGTATACTTTACTTACAGAAAGTCAGAGTACTAGATTAAGGACTGCTTATAGAAGTAACAGTATATTTGTTAGGTCATTAGAGTAATAATGAGTAATAAGTAGGATTTGTAGTAAGAAGCCTTTTCTACAAATCTAGAAGTCACCTTAGAACTCTTAGACTCTGACTATATACTCTAGGATTTTGTAGAGACTTAACAGTAAATACAGTACTGAAGGGCTATGACTCAGATTTTTTAATAGCTACTTTTGATTTAATAAACACTGTAGGATTAGAAGTAAATAAAGTAAGAAAAGTAGAAAAAGTAGAAAAAGTAAATCAACAAAATTATTTATTAGAAAGAAAAAAGTTAAAAACAAAAGTAGATAGTTCTCTTATTTCTTCTGATTCTTTTGATTCTTCTCTTTGTACTTTATCCAAGTCTAAATCTACACAATCCAACCTGCTACTTTTATATTCTAAAATCTTAGAATGTTTAGAACACTACCTAGCCTTATTTACTACTCAGTAGTTTGTCTATAGTATTAAGTAGGGATAGTCTCAGCTGAGTTTACAGCTAAGGACATGAGTCTGTCCTTGTTGAAAGAGAGAGGTTAATAAGGAAATGTTAACACATATACTTACCCTCTTAGATGACAAAACTGTACAAGCTGTATGTTCCCTTTAAAACAAGTAGCAGTTCATCTGAGAACATTCTAGACACTAGCTCTAAGTCCTTGTCCTCTTAGCTCTCTTCTCAGGATCCCTCCAGATCCAAACAATAGCTCTAGTAAATAGTAAATGTACTAGTTTATATATTAATAAGGCTTTTGTGTAGGAACACTACCTTCCTACTTAACACATTCTACTTCCAATCCTAGTATACAATACAGACAGAACCCTAAACCAGAATAGTTGAATTACTAAGTTTGTCCAACTATAGATGACTATTTAGAATCATAAGGAAAGTATCAAGTTTAGAGTTACTAACCTTAGAAAGACAGATGTCTTTATTAGATTCAAATGGCTTAAAGCTTACAACCCTACTATTAACTAGTTAGAGTAGACACTTGTGTTTAATCAGTGTTCTGAGTCTTACAACTACTTTACACTACTGTTCTGAGTAGATACAAATGCTTCTAATGTTACTAACAGTTCTAATAAAGATGACTAGTTGTTCTTCTTTAACTAGGATAAATATGTAGACACATATTCTAGTTAAGGTAGAATAGAGTTGATCTGAAGGATGTCTGAGACAGAATCAGTCCAGAACCCTCTCAGAACAATTCTACTCTAGAACACACATAGACTCAGCCTACCAGATTTTGTCTGAGAGTTTCCTAAAGTCTTTAGTAAAGAGGAATTCAACTAGCTTTCTAAACACTGTTCTTAGGACTATATAATTGAATTGACTAAGAGTTTCTAACCTAAGGATTGTAAGGTCTACCTACTCAACAGAGACAAGTAGGAGGTACTCAATAAGTTCCTTTAGGAAAATCTTCAGAACAGTCAGATCTAACCCTCAAAGTCCTTTATAGTCTCTTCTTTCTTCTTTGTCAAAAAGAAAGATAGGAAGCTCTACCTAGTCTAGGATTATTATTGTCTTAATAAGGGTACTATCAAAAACAAGTACTTACTCCCTCTGATTTAGAAGCTCATTAATAAGACACATACATTTAGAGTTTTTACTAAGTTGAACATTTAATAGGGATACAATAATATTTGGATCTAAGACAGAGATGAGTAGAAGACTGTATTCTAAACTAATTACAGATTGTACAAACCAACTATAATGTTTTTCAGACTAACTAACTTGCTTATAACATTCTAGTCATTCATGAATCACATCCTTACAGATCTGATTGACTTAGAGCATGTTAGTGTGTATCATCACAAAAAAGTCTTAAGTATTATACTTGCTTGTAATCTTGTATATTTTATATATTTTATAAAATTTGTCCAATTACTTATAATCTTCCTGGGGGGTTAAGCAAGGAAAGTACAATGTTAAATAAGCAAGAAAAAATACTTTTAAAACTTGGCAATTTCCAATATAATTTTATAAATTGTCAAGTTATACAAGTGATTATAATATACTTCCTAAATTACAAGGTTCAGACATACTTATTAATTTGTGACAGTACAATATCTGCTTATAATGCTTACAAGTCATTACAAGTGTTTGAATAGCTTTCTTTTACTTACTATACAATTTTATATCAAATAATTAATTAAACATAATTATATTTAAATTATAGAATACAAAAATAGGAAATAATACACTATTTCTACAGTCCCAACCCCTACACCACCAGCTGCCTCTGCCTCATTATTCTGTGAGTGGGATTTGTGTTGGAAAAGGATGAACACATCCTCAGACTGTTTGATGTAGTCTTTGTCACCATGTTTGGTCATCACTCAGGACCTGTGAGTCAAATTGTGTGTGTGTGTGGGATGAGGTTGAGCAGGTTGTAGAGGTTGAGGCTGTGCCTGTTAGACAGGTTTAGAGTAGTTAGCAAGTGACAATAGGAGATAAAAGGTGGACGTACCACAACAGTGTGTAGTGAGTGTGAGTAGTGCATACAGGTTGAGATCTGGAGCATTGAACGAGTTGATTCAGGCTGTAG